AATCAGAAATTTGAGAAAAAGTACACTTATTTAAACAATTATTTGTTAATTCATTCACATTGATCATAAAATTCAATTGTTAATTAAATAAATGTTTTTGTTGGCGACACGGCGATATGAAATCATTTGTTTTTCAATATTCATTAAATAAATACTTTTTTGTAATGCTTATCTCTAAATAAAACTTAGATTAAAAAAAGTATTTAAGATTATTTTGTTGGATATATCACATTATATGGATTTAAAACGGTCTTGGCAGGTACGAGATCCGGAATTAGTATTTCAAGGGACCCACAGAAGAGGAAGGAGACATTTTTTCCAAGTTTCCATAAGTCGGTATTAAAAGCACTCACCAAAGCATTAAGTAGACACACAAAAAGTTCGAAATTCAAGGACGATCGATCATTATATCTCGGAGGATTCTTCGGGACTTCATCGCCGGATGAATTCTTTTCTTCGCTATTCTCCTCTCTCGAGAGGCGCCCTCGAGTATAGTTTGTAAAACAACTTTTTTTTCAAGAACACGCCAAGTTTTCATTACTTCAGCAAACAAGACTTGGGATCAAGTGACTGAATCACAAAAGCTACAAGGGATTTTATATTCTAATTACTTCTTTTGAAATATACTACCGCCGTAATTTTAAAAAAATATTTTAATTTTGTTCCAACTCCAGCTTTGTAAACACTGATAACATTACTTCTAGCCGGAATTGCTGCGATTATGGACACAAGCTAATAGGATGTGTCGAATCCCACCAGAGCCAGAAAATGAATTCTAGATGCTGGTAGATCTGGACGGTCGTATTGCTACTGTCCTCCTGTCCATGGCACGGATTACAGGACTGAACGTGAAAAACTGGACCGTGCGCGATTTTCCGTGCGCAACTGCCTCACCTAATCTGGAGAGGGTGGCGGTCGGCATTCTGATCGGTGTAGTCTGCTCAGGGCATCAATTGACGCCACTGCAGTGCTTCTGACGAGAGGTTCTAGGGTTACATTCCCACAGAGGGTGGCAGAATTTTTCACTCTAACTTGCTAGCTAGGGCGAATTCAGCCTGGACGAGACTTCTAGCGGCCGGCTGCTCTGAATGGTAGTTTTCCGCGGTTTCTCCGATCAACACCAGGCGAATGGATGCCGAATCAGTACCCCAACAAACGGGTCACGGGCCGCGCACGTGCTTTCCTTCTTCTTCCGTATCATGTCCTCACCTTCGCTTACACACACATGTACTGCACTAGACACATGTCGGAAGACCTGTTGGGGTTTTAGAGGTTGTCTCGATGGGGACGATGTCTTCTTAGTTGTGATACCTGGAGGGGAAATTTCTCAGCTAGCCAACGTGCAGGTCGGTGCCGGATCTCACCAAGTGAGGAAGGAATCACCGTCACCTCCCGGGTTATTACATTCACTACGCTAACGAGGTTACTTATCATAGCAGCAGTCTGTTGCTACCAGTAACGCAACCATCTGTTGAGTATTAGCAAATTGCGCACGTTGAACCGTACAGAGATAATACCTCTCCTCTCAGTTAACTTTTGTATTTGACAAATGGGCATTAATTTCTCTTCGGGATCAACAGTTTCGAAAGCGGTGGAATACCTCTTGCATATGCTCAGAAAGGAAACTGGAATAACGCAAGCTACGCCCGTGCATTTTCTGTAATACGTAAAGCGACCGAGTTCTAGCGGGCTTCCTCCATCTCATCAGCAGCAGGGAGCTGTGGAGGAGGGAAGGCGGTGGTAGTGGGAGTGAGGGGGTGCGGGGGCGGGTATTAGCAGGTGTTTCATTACAGACGGCGCTGAGAGGAGGCGACCGCGCTCTTTCTTCCTCCAGCCGCACTCGCGGACTCTCCTACGCGCCCTACTACACGTTCCAAGACGCTCTTCTGCGTAAATAAGGGTAGATGGATGGATGAATGGATAGATAGAAGATTTATTCTACAATTGGACTGATGTTTCCCGGGGACATTAAACTACAAACAATTACGAATAAAGTAAGAATTTTTCTGTCAAAAATTCACCGTTTTCCGGAACATAATACGAATACATAACATTCTCTTCTTGCGAAGTACATCGGTAGGCGAGAAACTAAAATTCAATGAATTGTCCTTTGTTACTACCTAGCACATGTATATGGCATTTACGTATACATATATGCATACAAATGTAAATATAAATCTTGTTTACATAAATAATCTTACTCACGTACTATGTAAACGTGCATAAATGCATACACGTACATATATAAACGTATGGATCCATGCATACACGGATAAACCTTTTATATCTAAGACCACAATATAATAATATACGATACATGTTTTATTTCATTTTTAGCTCGTGACTCCCTCATTGGCATAAATTAATACTTATCAACATGTATGAAAATAGCCTTTCTAAAATAGACATTATAATAGCAATAACAAATATGGAGAAAATAAATCGCTTCCACTTCACGAACTGTCCTTGACGATATGAAACAAGAACATAGATTCCTTATTTTTACGGAATAATTTTGTTCTTATATTGTGCTCCTCTCCCTTTTCCCCCATTTCCTTCGCTTTCCCCTTTTCTTTTCCCCCAAATATTATAAAAATATTTATCAAATGATAAAAATGCAGTCAGAATTATACACAAAAAAGTGACTAGCTCACAAACATTGCTCCACGATCTTTTTACTCTACAATAAATGCATTAATAAATGTATGTGTCGCATAAGAGTGATGTGGAATGGAAGATATGTTTCTTTTTTATCTTGACATTTTTTACACGTTAATCGACAAAACATAGGAAATTAAGTTTTCTGAAGTACGTTCAATCAACATTCACAAAATATAATTTTGCCAAATCATATTACATTAATTAGTTACGTGTAATTTTTTAGTGTATTTGTGGGGGCGGCCACTATATTGTGGGGGCGGCCAATATTCAGTGACGAATATTTTTGTTCTTCAATAAAAGTGAGAAAACAGTTGCAGTAAATCAGTGTTCTTGAAACCAAGAATAGCTGTGTTTCTATTACATTTTTTAAGAGTAAGGGATGCTAACTTTTCTTTGATGTTGCAGAGTTGGCATATTCAATTAGTACTTATCGATTCTCAGTGTTGGTGACCTCGCTTCTTTAGAGATGTGAAGCCACATGTTGCACGTCGTATTTCTTGACGGTCAGCCGCCTTTACAACACGATGCTAGAGTTACGGAAGAAATTAAATTAGTGGACTGGGCTGGGAAGCAGATATGATATCCGCAACCGCCGGAAGAGCTAAGCGGCACAGAAACCGGAAGGGAATCTGCGACCACGGAGGCCATGGCTCTTCTTCGGTGGGACCTTCACTGCCCTCTGGACCGTTTCCGCTCCACTCGCCGCGCCCGTTCTCGCTTCCCGCATTCGCGACCCCTCCCTCGCCTGCGCCCGCTCCCGCCTCCTCTCTCGCCCCTTTCTCGCCCCCGCTCACTCACCCTCGCTCTCGCCTCCCGTTCTCTCCTCAGTCAGTGCACTCACCTCCCCCCCCCATTCGCCCAACCCCGTACTCGTCTCGTCTCTGCTCCAGCTCCCGCCCCCGCCCCACAGCTTTCGCCTCCGATCTCGCGCTCGTCCCCGGTTCCTCTCTTTATCGCTGCGGCCCCGCCCTTTCGCCCAACGCCTCGCCTTAATTGGGGCGTCACCAGGACAAATGGCGGCGAGACTCGCTTTCAGTGAGGAGAAAGTGCGGCGGCGGCCGACCTTCTGGTCCTCGCTCCTCCCCCCTCATTTCTCATGTCTCCTTACCCCACTCACTTTCTCTCTCCTTCGTCACCCTTCGTAATTCACTCCTTGCCTCTCGATATTTGTCTCAAGACTGGCTCAAGGCGAATTATAGCGGCCGGCTGCTCTCATCGTACTTTTTCATTGCTTCTCCGATGAACACCAGGCAAATGCCGGTGCAATACTCTTACAAACGGGCCACGGACTGCGCGCGATCTTTCCTTACCATTTTTTGTCTTATCCTCGTCCCTTACTTCCCTTTCCACTTCCACCGCCCCAGCCGGGAGCTTAGAGCTTGTTCCGGTGGCTGGGGGGAGACGTCGCAGTCAGATACCTCTCACAGCGGGACACCGGGGGAATCGGCGAGAAGGTCGGCCCTGGATCTCACACCCAACGGACAAAGGTTAACGCCATGTACTACACTTACGGGACCAATGACCTTAGTCACTGACGAGCTCAGAATCTCTGAGCTATCAATAAATTTGTCTAAAGACTGTATTTCTTGTGACTTGGGCTTCAAACGATTGTGCTTGCATTATATTCTGTTAGTTGTATATGAATTGAAAATTCGCAAAGATAATTTACGTTTTATATTTCGTTCCCCAAGTCTCTTGCCTGTCTTCTTGCCCTTTTTTCTTCCTTTTTTTTCTTTCGTTATCTTCTTGCAGTTCTTTTCGCGTCTTTCATTATTCTTTTCTATTTCTCGTGTGTCATTTCAAGTCTCCATTTGGACACTTTTAGAGTCGAATTACTCGCCATCAGACTTAAAACTGTCCCCATTCCAAATGATATTTATATGATAAATTTGAGTAGTCTTTTTTAGATGGATTTTCCCCAACTGCCATATTTCTTCCAAAACAATCTTTTGTTTTGCAGCAGCAGTGAAATGACGTGTTTGTGCACAATATTCTATATTCTCAAAGGTTTTTAGAGAAATGCGTATTTATCCTCCGATGGAATCATTTCACTGTCGCCAGGAAGATGCAAAATGTATGTAAAATTACTCGGCCGGGACGGTCGCAGTTGGAACGTATTTATTGAATGAAACGCCGCGTAGAATTTTTTTCGCGGCTGGGCAGGATTTCCACTGCAACGAGAATTTATAGTTATGCTCCAGTTAAGCACTGATGTAAGTGATTCGACATTAAAGCTGGAAATGTGTTAAATGGAACTAAATGTTTATTTCATGAGAAATAATGCAGCTGCGTTTTTTAAATATAAATTTGTAATCTAATTTTCATCCTTTTTATTTCAGAGCTTTGGAATCAAGAATTCATCACTATGCCATAGCAACTAAAGGTCTCATCGCCGGGGAAAAAGGTAAAAACATTAATTATTGAAATAAATAATGAATGAAAACTTTATTTACGGAGAGACTTAAAGTTCCGAAATAAAATCTCCCGAGTGAATAAAGTTAATTTAGATACTGACTCATATACAAGCTTTTATTTTTGAAATAGTTTATGTATTTTTTTTATTTAAAACACTCATTCTCGCTTTAGCAATGTTGACGAGTGACTCTGATTATCGATAGTTGCACTGCCTCGTACATTTGTAAGGAATGTAGAAGGCAGGGCTATCTACAATCTACTGTTCTATCTCAGATAGTACGAGTCAAGAGTGGTGTCATATTTTGTTTCTCTGTGTTGTTATTTACAATTTTTTCTCAGATTAAATTTTCTAAAGGAGAAGTGTCGGTTACGTTCCACTTTAATCACGTTAAAAATATACTTTCGGGCATATAATCTAAAGATTTTCAAAGATACATTAATATAGTATGATCGATAAATTGATGAATTAGTATTTCATTGCCTCAAAATATGTGAAATATATAAAAATCAATTTGCGTGTAAGTTGGTTCGTGCTTAATAAGCTGCCGTACTGTTTATCCGATTGTGATAAAACGTTGTCAACTTACTACTTGTACTTGTTGCCATATGGCTCTTCATTTAAATGCAATTCCCAATACACGTGCTCTTCATTCTCGTTGAGAGTTTCCGTGAGACGTAAGTGGAGGCAGAGAAGAGCAAGAGGAGCGGGCGGCGCAAGAATGAGAGAGAAGAGAGAAAGGAGAGAGGGGAAAAGTATAGGCAAAAGAGGGAGGAAAAAAGAGATAGTGAAAAAGAGGGGAAAGAATATAATTCTTTCAAATTTCAAATGATATATCCACAATTGTTTCTTTTGCGGCAGCATCGCAACGGGTACCACCTACTGTGAAATAATTAAAGCTGTAAACCTTTATAGATATGACCTTATCATTTCGTATAATTTAATGGGTTTCAAGCCGCATATTGTGATGAACCTGCCGGTCAGAATACCCATGTGACTTGTGTGTACCAAATCTCACAATGTGTCGAGACACGTGAGTGTTCAACATAGTGGAGGATGTCAGGTCGCTCGCGAAATTTATTTAGATGTGGACGCCAAGCGTGATACCAACCAGTCTCCTCCGCCAGCTCTAGAGATGTCAAGGGGCGAGTCGCTCTGGGGATGATGCGCGTGCTCTTAACTTTTTAATTAAAACAATATCAATTTATGGTTTAAGCGTTCTCCGTCTGAATGGTGGGCACACATTAATTCAAAATTACACTATTCTATTCCATGGACATGTAATGTTTTTGGAAGTACGCCATCCCCTTTTTTGTCTACTAGCGTTCAAGTCTTTTAATTCAGAACAGGGGCCTACAGTGACACATTTTGGGTTGCCTCGCTGTAGGGAGTTGTCGCCGTCGTCCTGGGTTCGCGCTCAATTCGCGACGCCAGGCGATGCCGCTAGAGGAGGGGCGGCGTCGCACGTCCAAGGGCTGGCGCGGGCTCGCGTCTGGATCTGTCCTGGGTCCGCGGCACGGGCCGATGTTCGGGTTGGAGGCCTCTGCTCTCGTATCAATGATGTTGTTTTTTTCGCCGGGTAGAGCCGTCATACGTCACTATAGCCGAGTCGGAACGTCACCGCAGGTTGCTTATCGTGACAAGTGCTTTTCGGACGTTTTGGCTTTTGTTGGCAGAACGGAATACATTCTGACGACGTGGTTATTTCGCTAGATAGTAGTTCTAAATAAAGCATCTTTTCCAGAAGGGATGGCATCCGGTGGAGCGAAAACTTTGTAACCTTCTTGTTGCGGTTTCAAATAGTCTCAAAGAAATGTGTCTTTGCTCGATTAAAGCGAAAACAGCATCTTTCGATGAATCTCATATATGATCTTGTCATCCATACTCTGTTTCCATCCCTTGTGTGAGTCCTTTTGGTCACGTGTGTGTCGCCCTGTGCCGCTATGTTCCTCAGCGACTTCTGGAATTTCCTGTGGGGTTCTGGGGGCATATTGGTCGTCCCAGTTCCCACTTTGATGGCCTGCATAATCTGATCGTTCCAATAGGTTGTCATTGTTTAGCCGCTGTTGACGATGGGTGGCCGGGAGGGAGGACATCTGCTGGGAGCCGGTGCTCTGGGTGAGGAATTGCAGCTGGTCGCAAAGGATTAGCGAGGTGCGTTTGCGAGACGAAGGTAATCCGTGTTCCCACGGCATGGGGGGTGTCGAGTGCGCGGAGCAAGTTGTGCCGAAGGTCAAGAGGCTGCCTTGCGTTTGGGGGCGGGAGTCGCCGGGGTGGTGTCTTCAGGTTCTTCGTTGCGAGTGGGCGGGCGGCAGTGGAGGAGAGATGCAGCCGCCCTTGGCCGTATTTCATGAGTCATGTGATGGGGCAGGCGCCAATGACGCTTTTTAATACCTTTTGAGCAAATGTAACAATGCTCTTTCTACATTCCTCACCTCTTTTAATAGCCATGGAGATGAAAATGAGCTGTGATGACAAATGTAATATGTACTTATAATAGCACATATTTAGGCATATCCCGAAAGGTAACTAAATATTAAATTCATTAAATAAATTATTTATTAAGTGTATTTTAGACTTTTGAATTGTAATTTCTAGTCAACAGTATTTTATGCTATTATTAATAGATACTTCATGTTTAGTTTTCCGTCTATTTCACAATGTAAATACTTGTGTACTAAACTACGTATATTCTGCAAAAGCTTCACACCCTTACTGACAATTATATATTGGTATTCTAATTATAATACGGGGGTATAATATAGAAATTTGGTAATTTGATTTCAATTTCCTTGACTTGTAGGAAATACTGATAAGTTTCTCGAGGAACTTGATTTCTCAATTATACCCATCACAGAATCATGCATAATAATTCATTTATTATTATAATAATCATTATTATCAAAAATTTCTTTATTCATTGCATAAAACTCAAGGGAACAACTAATCGCACTGGCATTTCTTAAAATTGCTAGATGGTGTGTTTGGTTCTACTACTATAAAATGTCTACATTTCAATACTTTATCGACACATTCATATCAACATATTTCATATTTTTGCTTTTCCTTTTTAGTTATTTCCTAGCTAATACAATTCTCCATTTTTTATTTGCATAACTTATTTATCGGAATATTCATTGTATATACAAGACATCATATTCAAAGGGTAAAAAGATTCATTCAGATCATTGCAATCAACGCGGGCGAGATTCTTGCATTGTACCTCGACAGGACGTTAAGTGATGTTCAGTGTAGGCAGTGCGCCGTGTGGGAGGCCGGCATTGTCCTCCGGAGCACGCTGATAGATCCTCGGTCCATTAGGGGAGGAGCATTCAGGGCAAGTCCCTTCATTCGCACCAAGTGATGCGCCCAAGGGAGCTGGCTTGGCGATCGTGGCGATGGAAATCGTATTACTTTTACGAACAATTATCTGTAATAATAGTACATAACTATCTTTTATCACATATTTCCGTCTTCCTTCAAATACCATTTTAAAATTTTTTGATGCATTACTCCAACTATTGATTCCGATTTTTAACTATTTTTTTAAAGGAACTAATTGTGTAAATATCCGCATTATTCCATCTCTTCACATCATATTTTAGATATATTTTACTTTTAATGTCTTCTGTTATCACTCCACCTTGGTCTAAGATATTCCGTTGTCAAATACCGTAAAAAATGAGTGGACTATACGCACGAGTTCTTTTATCCTACAACTCGATTTTTGATCTCAAAACGACGTTTATCTGCTTTAAAATGTTCATCTGGTGAATCTCTTTTCCCAAGTAAAATAGTCGAAGCTAATTTTAAAAATGTTTTCGTACTTTCGGACAAATTTAAAATAAATGCATTATCTTGGCTGTCCGGGTGACGTCGCGTCGAAGGCTGTTTTGTCGACGTTTCGACCATTTTGTCGTGGTCTTCCTCAGGGCTGGTATGCCCATACATCAGATAGTATGGACATGATAAGCACGACAAGATGGTGGAAACATCGTCAACAATCTTCGACGCGGCGTCACCCGGACAGACAAGATCATGCACATGACTCTGGCCGAGGATGCCTACGACTTCAAATTTTAAAAAAGTGGTAAAAATCGGTCTGGCGAGCTGTATCCTGACTCCAACGCCATAACAAGCATCGAAATAAGATAGTATGAATCATGACTTATCCCAGCGTAACTTGGTAAAGTTTATTTTTTGATATAAAATAATTGTTATATTTGTATAATTTTGAAGGGAATAATAATTCTGTGGAGCTCATTTCATACAGACTACGTAAATGATAATGGGTAATGATGCAATTGGATAACTCCTAGATGTTTGCTTGCATTTTGGAGCGTGTTTTCCCTTCCATTTCTTTGTTTATAAAAAGTGGATTTCTAGAAAAGTTACTCTGTAGAAATTGCATCATGCCAAAACCAGTTAGACGTGACTCTTGACCTATCGGACACAATGATATGTAGAATATATATGGAACTTCAACACGAGTTTAAAAGAACGAAGGAAATCTTCTTGTGAGTAGGGAGCTCTAGGATATGTTTACTCTAACGCTTACGCGACGTAATGCAATCTACACACTTCCTGAAGTTGATAAAAAATCGAGGTTTCTTCTTCAATGTGAATAAATTTGAAATCTAAAGTATATGCTTACAGTATTAACATATTCTTAAAAATCCCTTTTTTCTTTTCCGAGGGACGACTTTGCCATTGACTGAATCACCAACGGTATTCATGCAATTTGTTGTTATTTGCACAATCTCGGCTGTCTCCTTTCTTTGTAATGAATAATAACAAATTGTTGTTCACTGTTTTGTTCTTTCCGGATCACATTCGCATAATTGTGTAGTATTCGCCGAGATTTCCTCCCTCCCTCTTTGAATAGTGTTAGGATTGGAATATATATCTACAGCCGGGGACTTCCATTTTTTCAAGTTGTCTTTGTCGCCCAAATATATTTCTTCGATCTGAGGTCTTATTCGTAATCATCT